ACTATTTATAATCTGTGTAGTATCTTTAGAGATTGAACCCAACACTAACAAGAAACACTATTTATAATATGTGTAGTATCTTTAGAGATTGAACCCAACACTAACAAGAAACACTATTTATAATACAGTGAGGAAACATAACAAACGCCTGTTGGTTTCTTGTACATTAAATACAGAAGCAAAAAATATACTACAGACAAAACATATATGCTGCCCAGATACTTACAAAAAATTCTTACATCATTTGTTCTAAATATCACTTCAACGAAAACAATAGAGTCAACAAGTATTTCCATTTTAGTGTAGTTATATATACATATATATATATTTCTACGGCAAGCTGTTGGTGATCTGTAAATAATAACCTAGTTCATTTTCTTTAGTTAGTTTCATTAAATTGTATTAGTTATACAGAAACTGAGTACGTTATATTAAAACGATTTTAGGGCCTCATCACGTCGTTACAGTCAATTTTATCATGTCCAGTCATGCGCTTTCTAACGAACGTGCGCCTGGATAATAGCCCTGCATCTCAAGACTGTTGCTTTTCATAAGCCATCTAGTGTACGAGTAGAACTGTTTCCCATTCAACAGCACTGCGTCCGGCGACTTACCAATATGTTTTAGAACGGAATAGCTTTAATATTCATGTCACTCTCTAGCGACAATTGAATGGATACATAATGGTAACAACTTATGTAAAAGTGATTATGTCGTTTTTCCAGACAAAGATATTTCTTGATTATATTGCGCACTGTGCTCTTGGGCAAGTGAACAGCTTTCGTCACTGACCTTTTACGTTTGTCTTACCAGGGCTAGTTGTAGATCACTTTCTGGGTCGACCTGAAAGCCCAAGTTGATCCATATTCCTTTGTTTTCAAATAGCAGTGGCTTATTCGTAGTTGTTAAATAAATATTAAATTTTGTAACCTTTATTTTGAAATAGAGTTTTGAAGTTTTTCCCATCTATTCACCTAAATTTAGCACTCGAGTTTTCTTTAACACTCAAAGCCATCTCTTGTATGACAGTCTTTATCATCCACCTAGCTGGGATAATGATAGCTGATATTACTTAGTTCTCGACCGGTTTTATTCTGGGATTTGTTACCCCATACGAGTTTATACATTTTGATATTACTTTCTTTCCTAAACAAAAATAATGTTCTTCAAGAGATTACATGTATTTGGTTAAGAAATAACCTTTGATGAATTTATCGTTTCTTTTAATAATTCTGGATGTCTAAAGATCTTCATCCATTTGAGTGAGTGTGAAGAATAGATTAGAAATTGTTAAGAGAAAATCTTCATTATGTGGCTTGCGACTCAGTGTAGTTTCAATATGAAAGGGTTAAGTAGAGTATCAGTGACGTAGTGAGGGAGAGAAAGGGTTGAGAAGTGTGGAATCTCTATGAAAATGAATCACTACCATCACCTAAAACATTGTTTAAACACTTACTTTATTATTCATGAAAACATTGATGCGGGGCTCATCATAAGAGTTTTATTTAGATAAACATATCCAGATTTTGTGTTTCCATTATTTATAATATACAAATTGAGGTACCCGTCCTCAGAATGTATTTATAACATAACATATTATAGTATTCGTTATTATATCACCAAACGTTTTGTATAAGCTTTAATAACTCAATATTTATATACTTAAAACATGGTATACACTGTACGATGATTAGGGTGACTTTGTAGGAAGAGGTGGAGGCCAAAGTAATGGCGGTAGGGATGCTTTCTGTTACCCATTTTCAATACCCACCTCTTAATGTCCTACCACAGTGTTTCACGTGATTAATTAATTGATGGTCATTGACCGCAGAAGTGTCGTACGGGCCAAACTTGAAAGGTCATGGGTCAAAGTAGGAAGTGGGTATAACTCAAGAGACTACTCTTCATATCAGCCTTATGGTGGCTGTTGGAGTAGAAACTTCAGCTGAGTTTATGCATTATTGTCATAGTGGCGGCCATTTTTTTCATCACACTCTTTGCGGCCTCTTTTATATATATAAGACGTTTGTGTGCCCTCCTCCCACACTTTGTGTATGTTGTGTAATACAAAATTTAGTATTTCTTGTGATAGGACGTGGCGCTATCTGTGAATGTAGTTAAGGTAAACTTAAGTCAAAGATAATAAGTGCTCAATCACTCCAAAAAGTTTGATTGAAATTGGCCCACCAACTTAGGAGTAGTGTAATAGCGGACAAACAGACAGACACAGAGATTTTTGTGCTATATATATATATATATTGATATATATCTGAAATGTGAAGCGAAATTGATCCAAATTAATAAAAAAAAATAATGCAAAAATACAATCCTAGAAAAAAAAACTGAAACTAATATATATATATATACATAAAACATACAATTTGAAAATCTAGAAGATATTAGTTTCTGTTCATCAAGAACTAACAGAAAAGTAATAAGTCCTATAACCCTAAGAAAAATTCAGTTTATAACCGTAAGAGCTCTGCCTACCATATTAAAAACACAAAATGAAGAATGAGCAACAATGCTGATGATGTTTGGATATTTCCAGACGACATGCAGTTGAGCGAATCTGACGTATATTTTAAACAGTTTTTGTAAACAAAGTTAGTAGCATTCTTTTTGAAGCTCACAAAAAAATCAGCGGCGGCGTCGTCACAGAACTCTTTCATAACTGATTTTAAACATGATGAGTAGTGAGCTTGAATACTGAAATGGAAAACAAAAGTTTTGAAAACATCACCTCAGATATTGGTACTTTGATAGTGTTTTTCATTCACATAAATATGTTATGACCTGTAAACTATTTATACTGACATATTACAACCTGTAAGCAGGAAATAACACGTAAGCCATTTATATTGATAGGTTATAACCTGTAAGCCCTTTATATTAACATGTTATAACTCTTAAACCATTTATATTGGCAGATTATAACTGTAAGCCATTTATATTGACACATTATACTTCTGTAAACAATTTATGTTCATACATCATATTCTGCAATCCATGTATATTAACACAGTATCTTATATAAAGCATTTGTATTATCGCTTCGCCCTCTAATCTCTGTATCAAAACATTATTTTATGAGCACCTTTTATATTGACATACTTTGTATTGGAAATAACTTATTAATAACATTATACTTTCTGATTATTTGCATAACTACTTAGAGTTAACGATTTTACCACCAGATTGGTCTTTGGACGATTCAACTGGCTTGTTAACAAGTGATTTTGTCCTTTGACCTTAGAACGCTAGCGTGGTTAGTTTAGTACACAGGGTTAACTTGTATGAGGGTTCTAGGCGTTCTAGGGTTAATCGAATATCTAAACATACAATTTACTGCACTAGTTTTACAGTTCTTGTAGATACATGTTCGTTCTACCGCAGATATCGAAACATGATTTTTAGCGTTATAAGCCCCCAGACTTACCGCTGAGGCACTATGGAGCCGCTAGGCTGAGCTACAATATTTAAACAACCTATATAACTATTTTAGATGTTCATTATTTTATAACGACGTTGATTACAAGCTCCAAACTTAACATTCAAGCGGTTTTCATTAAAATGTATTTTACTGTTTTCATAAATATAACGCCATTAGTGGAAGTATTTAAATTGACATTAATTTTGAGCACTTCTGCAGCTATGCTAGATTTTTGTAATACAATTTATAAATAGAAACTATTTTCAGATTATTACTCTCAAGAAATATTAGTGTTTTCTCTACTGCAGTATCCCCTAGTGACGCAAATATGCCTGTAAATAAACTGAACTCGATATATTACGATGAATACAAACAAACTCACACTTCACTAAGAAAAAGAAAAAAAAAAGATGGACGAATATTCACGGTTAAAGAAAGAAATAAGTACAATTATTCTTTAAGGATGTTTTACAACAACAGACAATCAATTCAGTGTAAACGATTACATCATCATTTTTAATATAACAACATACATTTATAAAAGCCAATTTAACTCATTAGGAAGAGGTTTTTATTTCTGGACGTTTTCCTTTCATTCACAAGCTTCCTGTTACAACCACTCTAGAAGACGTTCAATGTAGTGTTAACTGACAAACAACAACAAATCCATTCAGTTGGATTTTACAGCGGAGAAATATAAGCTGTTACCATATTTATTGCGGAAATTTTATAATGAAAGTTAACAAAAACGTGAAATAAAAACCTCGCTCTAATTTGATCATCTAACTCGATATCAATACATATCGATAACACTTACCAACAATGCCAACGATAGTATGTTTCGTAATCCATATCGGTGTTTTTAATTGTTTTATTCGCTTTCGTATAAACGTCCAAACACATTTGTCTTCTCTCTTTCGGCAGATTTTTGTAGCATGAGGTCAATTCTAAGTATCCTGGAACGGATCACATATTTTTGAGTAATGGAATTAACATTACAAGGTGATTATAAATAAATTCTCATGTTTGACATTACAATATGTTAAAAACTACTTTACTAATTTACTAGAGGCACTTGGATAATGGCGGGATTTATTTGAGAAGGTTTAGACCTAAGTCGTTTCTTGCAAACCAGAATTTATTTATCTTCTTCCTATTTTCAAGAATACTAGACCAGTGCCTTGAATCAATCTACAGTGATTAAATACACTAGCCTTCCGTAAAGGTATACAAGGTCTATATACTCTAGCCTTCCGTAAAGATATACAAGGATTATCTACATTAGCCATCCGTAAAGGTATACAAGGACTATCTGCACTAACCTTCCGTAAATGTGTACAAGGACTATCTACACTAGCCTTCCCTAAAGGTATACAAGGACTATATGCACTAGCCTTCCGTAAAGGTATACAAGGCCTATATACTCTAGCCTTCCGTAAAAGTATACAAGGTCTATATACTCTAGCCTTCCGTAAAGGTATACAAGGTCTATATACTCTAGCCTTCCGTAAAGGTATACAAGGTCTATATACTCTAGCCTTCCGTAAAGATATACAAGGATTATCTACACTAGCCTTCCGTAAATGTATACAAGTACTATCTACACTAGCCTTCCATAAAGATATACAAGGATTATCTATATTAGCCATCCGTAAATGTGTACAAGGAGTATCTACACTAACCTTCCGTAAATGTGTACAAGAACTATCTACACTAACCTTCCGTAAATGTATACAAGAACTATCTACACTAACCTTCTGTAAAGGTATACAAGTACTATCTACACTAGCCTTCCGTAAAGGTATACAAGGACTATATGCACTAGCCTTCCGTAAAGGTATACAAGGACTACCTACACTAGCCTTCCGTAAAGATATACAAGGATTATCTATACTAGCCTTCCGTAAAGGTATACAAGGATTATCTACACTAGCCTTCCGTAAAGGTATACAAGTACTACCTACACTAGGCTTCCCTAAAAGTATACAAGGACTATATGACCTAGCCTTCCGTAAAGGTATACAAGGACTACCTACACTAGCCTTCCGTAAATGTATACAAGGACTATCTACTCTAGCCTTCCGTAAAGATATACAAGGATTATCTATACTAGCCTTCCGTAAAGGTATACAAGTACTATCCACATTAGCCTTTCGTAATTGTATACAAGCACTATCTACACTAACCTTCCGTAATTGTATACAAGCACTATCTACACTAGCCTTCCCTAAAGGTATACAAGGACTATATGCACTAGCCTTCCGTAAATGTATACAAGGACTATTTACACTAGCCTTCCGTAAAGGTATATAAGGACTATCTGCACTAACCTTCCGTAAATGTGTACAAGGAGTATCTACACTAACCTTCCGTAATTGTATACAAGGACTATCTACACTAACCTTCCGTAAATGTGTACAAGGAG